TAAGCCCTAAACGGACATAAAAACTTTTATCGCTTTTTCATTACCGAAAATTTTTGGTGGTGCTCTTGGGGTAGTTGCGGCACGTGCCAGCCAATCATTTGTCCGTTTGAGCCAAATTACCGTTATACAAAAATTTTTGCCCAATAATGTATACTTAGTATTAGAATGTAGCAGAATTAGGAATTATGTCACGTGTTTGCTGTGTCGGTAGCAATTCCCTTTCTTTTCTGGATCACTAGGGTACTTTCCATGAACCCGGGTCAAAACACTAGACGCAAGTCAGAAATTTGAATCTTACGCATCTCAAATTAAATTTCAATTTTACGCAACTCAGTTCTAAACCGACGCACATTCTAGTTTCACGCGCAACATATACATGCAAAAGTTGATAGCATACATGAAATTTCTTTTTCCTATTGTAATTTAAAAGGCTCATATTAAAGTGTATTAAATGTATTAAATGTTTAACATATTTGTGTCCGCTTTTTAGATGGCGTCTGAACACAGTTAGGAATAACCAGATCCTTATTCTTACGGATACCAGCTTCTTGCAAGTCCTCCAATGCATCATCGTCATCATTTGTTCTTTCGACAACATCGATTGTTTTACAGATAATCACCTAAAGTTTTGAAGATTGTTTGATATTAGACAGCTATTTATGTAATGACAGAAATATTAATATTAACCTTTGCTTTCCAAGTCAAAACCATACATTTGAGAGCTTTATCAAAACATTTAACATTTGTTGGTATTTCTAAAGTATCTGTTCTCGTTATTCTACAAACGTAACCTGCAGGAGCATCCATACGTAATAGCATCATAAAAAGACCTGTATAATGATATATAATTAATATTTCATGCCAAATTATAGACAGTTAAAAAATATACATACCAGCATGAATGAAGCTAACTAGCTCTAATTGGCGTAACTTGTTTGTTTCCCACTTAATGAAATTACCCAAGTCAACAAGCATGTCCTTAAGCATCTTGGGACTTTTTAGTCCCCTTTCTTTAAGTAATTTCGTCCCATTGTCTCCTTCATAGTCCTTTCCCACCTCAGAAGCACCATATTCATATACTCCTTTCCTTAAGATCAAATCACCTTTTCTCCCAAGTGCTTTTCGTGCTGTTTCGACTAATCCTTGAATTACTCTTTTCTTATTTTTACGTTTGGACGAAGCAAGGCTACACGATTCACCTCTGGAAACATCTATCCCTTCTAATTCATTGAAAGATTTATCTATAAAAGACCAAACATGAATATTATACCATGCTTCCAAGTGATCTTGCTGTAATGTGCCAGATTCGAATTCTAACAATAAATTGTGAATGGTGTTTTTTATCCAGTCAAAATTAAAGTATTTAGTCCTATCAAAGTTTCTGCCTTCCCAGTCTTGTCTCGTATCAAGTACTCTTCGGTTGTGTTCTTTCGACAAGAGTTAATATACTTTAATAATTCAATTGGCATATCGGGGAGGTCCTTTACTTCTGTGTTACGAATTTCGCTAAGTTCTTCAGAGGTAAATATATTATTTTGAATGTAGGTTTCATCATCTGGGTCGATAATGAAAGAATGTGTCAAGCTAGAAGAAAATAACAAAAGCAAATTAAATTATCAAAATCAAAAAAATTTCATATCAAATATATTTTTCATACTGTTCAAACTGGCATTTTTTTCCAAAAGCATACAGCTCGTCTTCAACACATTTGCCTGATTTCAAAATCCATTTTTTTTCATTTCGCATTCCTTGAAAGGCGCATTCGAATTCTACCATGCTTGAATTACACATTTTTTTATCGCCTTCATTATCATCAAAATTATAATAGGGTGTTTCACCCTGCAACTCATCATGCGATATATATATACGTTCATCTGTGGTTTCTGATTTTCGCAGTTTTTTGACAAACCGATTGGGTTGTTGTT